TTACTGTTTTCCAGTTTTGAAGGGTATAACAATGCTGGTGATGGCAACTTATTTCAGGGTGAAGGGTGCGCTGGCAGTGCCCCTCAAATCTTTGCAATTTAAAATTCTGAGTGTCACTGCAACTGTCATAGACAGGCGTACTACTACTTCGTACCGTTACTTGATATAATATTTAAAAAAAATCTCACCTCGCGTAAAAGTATTGGAAGTCACAGTGTAGCATGACCCGCAATTAGTTGAAAGTACAACCTGGTGTTATGGTACGAAAGTAGATGTTGTAGGTGCCAAACAGTCTAGCTTGAAAGTCAGTCTGGAATTTGAAATTCTACATTTTCAAAACCTATTCGTAGAAGTGAAACAAGGTTCGATTAGGCAGGGTCCTCTGTGGTGGTAAGGCTTAGTCAGGTTCATCAGTGGAATTTATCAAGTTGATAATGATATTCTTCAGTAAAAGACTAAGAAATATATTCCAGAAAGTAGGCAGCAGATATTGCCTTATGTATGTTGGTAGCACCTAGTACATAACCAGAAATAGAGAAGAAATAAGGGCCATCCATCACTGGCAACTCATTAGGCAAATTTGCCTTATATCACTTTTAAATATCAATTCTCGTTTCCACTGAAATCACAAATTAGAAAGCTGAAATAGTACAAGGCCAACAACTGACATATGTACGTCTGTATATATATTCCAAAAATATTCTGTATTAATTGTAATAAAGATAATATCTCTAACTATGAGGGGCTGTTCCATTCGATGGTCTGGAAAAAACCCCAAAACATCTAATTACAAAAGAAACGGAATCACATTTCGTCGGTAATTAAATATGTAATTTTTCAATATTCGTCCATTATAGCAAAGCTCAAGTAAAACTTATCCATTTGAAGTGAACAATTGATGACACCCGTCAATTGTTTCGAATTCGAGCTGGCCAATCGGAGCGCAGTTGTCCCCGTAATGATATGGCAGAATAGTTTTCAAACAAAATTAAATGACATTTCGTCTCTATTTCAGGTTATATACTCGACGGTTGGTAGATACAAGTAACGTAGAGCTCACATTTAACGTTCACGTGAGGAAAAGTGCTAGTTTTAAATTAACATATTAGAATTTAAATTTATGCCATTCTTACTTTCAGTCAATTCCTGAGTAAAATTATAGTGTTTTTCAAGTTTGCGTGACTGAAATAAGCTCTTGTTTTTAGAGTGACTATTTAGTGCTTCAAGTGCTTGAAATTTTTAAGCCAAGTTGCGTTGGTTTGGTTTTAAGATACTTCTATTGTAGTTACAGTACGTTTTGTCATGAATCTAAATTTGAAAATACAACAAATTATAACTAGATTGTTTTGTGGCTTTGCAATCAACTTTTTATTCAAGAATGAAAAGTTGATTGCAAAGCCACAAAACAAAAACGAAACAAAACCTTTAAGTAAAAAAACAAGAAAGTAAACTTTTGACTTTTAAAACATGATGAAATACTTTCATAGATTTTTCATAGATGGCGCTACGGCTAAAACGCCGTTGATAATCAAATACAAAGATCTGCAACAAGCACATAGAAAAATTTGTAAGGTCCGCTAGTTCGTTCCGTAGCTTAGTTGGCACGGTTTGCTAGAAGACGTCGGTTCGAATCCGGCCGGATAGAAGGAATTTTTTCTAAGTGTTCGTTTTTTGTATTAATAATTATAACAAACTAGTGGAGTAATTTCAAAAAAATAATTGAAAATCAATTCAATACAAATTTAAGAAAGTAAACATTAAAGAAAATGAGAATACTCCATACAATTTCATAATAATGTCGTATCTGTGTCGTACGAGTAACCATCTCATTCGGCATTTGGGCACTGCCGAGATGGTTACGTTGGTTGTAAACGGATTAACAGGAATGAGTAACAGTAGCGTGTGACGCATAAATAAAATAAAATCGACTACGTAACCACGTCTTATTAATATAGATTTTAAGGTTTTCGTGGTTATTCACTAAATTATTATCATTAATTTCAGTTTTTTTTACCACGGCATGATTTCTTTATATTTTCCGGATACTTCGAAATGAAACTGATATGAATAAAATGGAAATAAAAAGACTACGCCTTTTTACCTTTAAGATCGCTTTACTTTCCACTCTTCTACACTCTGCCGTCCCCTTCGCTCCTCTGATACTCTCATACTTAAACATCTCATTCCTCTAACTTTTGTAACTTTCCAGCTCATTTAACGTTTCTGCGATCAGATTGTGGAAGTCTCTCCTTGATTCAATTCGACGACACCCTTCTCTTGATTCCTTCAAACAACGTGTCAAGGATCACTCCCTTAACTCCTAAGTTTTGTCTTTCATCTACTATCCTTACATTTATTTCCTATATTTATACTTCATTTTTCTTTTTCCTTCAAAAGTATATACGTATTTAATATTATTACTTATTTTTTATTATATTAATATTATTTGTATGTATATGTGTATCTAGGTACGTATATATTTGTATTATTACTTATTTAGTATATTTATGATGATATTCTTTGATTGCACCCTATTGCATATCCTAAACGTTTATGCTAAGGTTGCCTGGAATCAAATGCTACATAGCAATAAGGCCGCCTTTTGCACATTAAAGTACTACTACTATTACACTTAACCTATTGTATTGTATTTTAACAGTAATTTTATGTGAAATAACAGTTATTTGTTATGCAAGGCTGCAAAGTTGTTGTTTGACGTGAGTGCTTGTACCGAAACCTGAACAAGTGAAGGTAGCTAAGATTCAAAAATAGGTTCCTGGGCGCAGCGAGCTTCAAGCCACGAGACGCAAAACAACTTTTCACACACAATTTTTCACCTCACTATAGCGAGCACACTGGTAAATGAAAGAAAAACAGTTGTACTATAAAACATTGGTTTATTTAATTAAAAGGAAAAGTTTGTCTTCGGATGCATTCTGAATTCACGCTCATCAATTTTTGCTCTTGCTTGTACTTTTATTTTGTGTGATTAAATGATTATTGAAATTATTTCAGAAGTTACGTGCACCGCAGTCCATCGCCAGGTTCGAATTTTAAAAGCATTTTCTACACTAGCGTGCAAAAAACGCTTTTCCGCGCAGATTTCTAATGAGAAAGAAAGCCTTTCTGAGCTAGTGAGGTGAAAATAGTATTTCATTCATTCTTTCATTTCATTTCAAAAGATAAAAAATACATAAAAATTCTACCGTGTTAAGAAACTTGTTATTAATATGAAATATTTATGTTTTATTGAGTCTCTATTTTTCTCATTATTTTCTCGCATTAACTTCTATTTTAGAGATTCTAAGTAATTATGTATTCTGTTATAGCGGATAATTTAAAGATTATAAATTTTCTTTGAGTCAAACAAGAAACGTCCTAGATCGCTTGTAAGTGTCTGTCAAAGCGTCATAACTGCTACATTTAACTGCCTCCGTAGCCGAACTGTTACCATGCCGGACTGCGACGCAGAGGTCCCAGGTTCGATTCCCGGGCCGGGAGAAATATTTGTATGGCCTACATTTATTCCTCTCGTGAGTTTGGGTGTAATTTGTGGTTGCCTATGTGTGTGTCCAAGGCACCCGCGACACTGGGTTTCCCTAGTGTGGGGCTATGTTGAGTGTGTCCGTTATTATTATTATTATTTATAATACCGTAATTAAGGAAATTAACTAATGAACGGTAATAATAAGATTCTACAACTTGCTGGCTTTATCTTTAAACACAATAAGTACTCTTAACTTCTCTGCCAAACAATGCAGTCAAAACGTGTTCTATGCCTAATGAGGCTAAATTTTCTGTTCACCTCTTGTACTTCTATTATACTAAAACTGTAGCAGTATAACAAGATATCTAATTACCATCATGTTAGCCTTATAATCTTATTATTTAACACCCGTCGAGGAAGTGTCAGGTTCTCACGAGTATTTTAGTTTAGAGTTCCTCATGAAACAGTAAAACCACAAAACGATGTTAAATATTCGAATGCGGTGCATATTTTATAAATTAACAATATGTTTTTAAAATTTATAACATGACATGACATGGGAAATATCCAACTAGTATTCTGCTAGATGACTTTGTTCATTAGCTACAGAACAGAATACCTAGTGGTCGGGTAACTGGATGCTTGTTTACCTACAAATCGGTTGCTTCCAAAAATCCGCGCTTATATTATAAAAAATCCCGCGACACCGAGATAAGCAAAATTAATAACGTTTAAAATGTTATTTGAAATTTTATGCAACATTTGAATTTATTCTTATCATATAAAGAAAGTGGAAAATGTAAAATTTCCGACAACAAAAAATATTTATTTAAGATTTATTTACGATTAATAGAGAAACGATATTTTACGAAACGTTTCCACATGTCGAAATCGACGTCGATTCAAGAGAAAAAAAATTAAATTATTAATAAAACGTTCAAATATCCTACCACTAACTTATGACATCGCATTTTTTATACGTAATATGCGAGTAAATAAATAAATGAACCTTTCAGAACTAGAACCCTACAAAATCCTATTGGACATATCCACTTATATATCTACTAAGAGTATTTTGTCAAGTATATGCGAATAAGTACTGCTTAGTAGCCACTTAGCTAAACATGTGGGATTTCTTTTGTATATGAATTAGAAGGTGCGGGAAATTGTGAATTCGTTTCGTTTGTCAAAAGTAACTAACTGTTATACAGCTGAGTATCGTCAAGTCAGCAATTTGTAATTATACTTGTATATATGTTTGTTGAGCTGGTTTAGTGAACTATATTTTTGTTTAAATGAAAATCGTGATTTCAAGCCTTCTAAATAGTAATATAATAATATGCTTCGATAATGGTTAATGTATTAAATTGCAGATTCACTGGGGTTGCCAAGTCGCAATTAATGTTTATTTTTGTACCAAACCCTCCTAAAACTTGACATATATGGTGTGGTAAATAGAAATTATGAAACAATTATAATCTTTAAAGAAAAAAGTTAATAACTAAACTCTCACCTCAGATATTCAAGTAGGAAAATTTCCATTTTGATGGTTGCGTAAAAAGTTTGCCATAGTCGGACTGCGTGGAACCATCTCGACGCCTGGCGTTAGACTGGCAAGTGTCGGGAAAACCCTGTCTTATATACCCATGGGTTGTCTGGGGGCGGTGATTCAGACGTTCTGAATTCGAATTTTGCCGTATTTCCATTGAGCTCGCGCCTATACGGTGTGCAGGTAATAAAAGGAGTAGACAGTCATTTTGAGAATTGCTTGAGCCATTGAAATTGCTGCACCAAAGGTTCTATTTTTAGATGTGCTGACACGTACGTAGTATATAATGACATTGTTACTACTATGAACAAAAAATTGATTGATTTTTTTTGCTTTAGTATTGATTGACATTTATCTCTAAATGTTGGTTTGTAAAATTTGTTCAAATAACGATTATAGTAAAATTTCCAATTTTTAAACGACTTCAAGAAAAAATAGAAGGTTTTTCAAGTCGACTGTATTTTTTTTATGTGTATGTTACGTGATTACAATTTTATGAACCGATTTAGACACACAGCCACCGAAACAATGAATTTGTTGCAAACCAAATTTCCCGATCGCATTATTTCACGAAATTCAGCCGTTAAGTGGCCAGCTCGATCATGTGATTTAACACCGCTGAAATATTTTTAAGGGGTTAATGTTAAAGACAGAGTCTATACCAAGGAGTCAATCGAATCGATTGCAGCCTTAAAACTCAGAATTCGTGAAGTGATTAACGTAATAGACCCACTATTTTGTCAAAAAGTGATTATAAACTGTGATGAAAGAATCGACATCTGTATTTGTGGTCGTGGTGGATATTTATTAGATATAATTTTTCATTCATAATTGTCAAATCCTACTTTTTTAATACAATAAAAATTTGAATCATTGTTATCTAAATGTATTGTTTTATATTCATTTGCAAAACAAAGTTCTTCTTGATAAACCCTATACATGAGCTAGAACAAAAAATTACCTAATTTTTTTTTAATCGACTTTAAAAAAAGGAGGAGATTCTCAGTTCGACTGTATGTTTTTTTTGTATGTATGTTACGCGATAACTCCGGTATTTGTGAACCGATTTTCATGATTCTTTTTGTTGGAAAGAGGGTACCTCCATAGTGGTCTCATTTAGTTTTGAAGAAAATCATCCACCTCTAAGGGTGGGTGGCTGTTCACGCATGAAGATTCATTTTTATAAATAGCGCCTAAATGTTACAATAAGGAGCAATTATTTTAATGGTTGATTTTGCTATTCTCCAATTCAAGGCGTTTTTCTCTGAATATTCTTTGAGTAGTGAGACCCAATTTTTATTATCTCTTGTGTCAAGTCCCCTATAGTGGCGAACTAGGGGATAAATCCGGATTTGCGCACTTTCCGGGAGCCGATTTCAATAAAACTTGGTAATTATATGTAATTCCATGTACTTTTGAGTTCGGCTTAATTAGTACTCTGTACTAGAGATGGATGATTTTCTTCCAAATTAAATGGGACCACTATGGAGGTACCCTATTTCCAACAAAAAAGAATCAGGAAAATCGGTTCATAAATACCGGAGTTATCGCGTAACATACATACAAAAAAAACATATAGTCGAATTGTGAACCTCCTCCTTTTTTGAAGTCTGTTAATAAACATTTAAAATACTATTATTTTTAGTAATAGTTCCAATTTCTTTTGTTTATAATTTTTATTTTTATTTTTCTAAAAGAAAGCACGTTATGCTGTGCGATGACTGTAGCCACTGTAGACTGTAGAAAGGGATTGCAGTAGGTAGGTTATATTTAAGTACCAATGTAAATAATTTTGTTCTGGAAAATTAATGAAAAAAAATATATATATCACATATAGACGGCCTCTGTGGTCCTGTGGCGGTTTTTATGGTGTCGCCATCTTTGAGCTTGGAAACTAACTTTTCTATATTGTTTCGGGTCTGGGTGTTTGTGGTACCGTCGTTGTTTCCGATTTCCATAACACAAGTGCTTTAGTTACTTACCTTGTGATCAAAGCATTACGTTGCTTTGATCACAAGTACGTTGTTACATACGATGTCCAATATTAATTTATATATCACTCATTTTTTTATCGTACAAAATGACGGGACGAACAAGTCGTGTGTGTGGTTGTAACGACACTCCTGTCCATAACAGTTGCAGTGCAGAGCTTCAAATCGCAAAGATCTGAGGGGCACTGCCACTGCACCTGTCACCCTGAGACATAAGTTGACAAGTTCTTTATGCCTTTAATTTCACCAGCACTTTTTCCCTTCAAAACCAGAACGCTATAATACTCACATTACTGCTTGGCGGCAGAAATAGGTAAGGTGGCGCGAAACATGGAAATGTAGTTATTTGTTTTGCAGTCCGTTTCAAGGCAAGAGACGCAAAACAGCTTTGCTGCCGAGCGAAGATGAAAGAAAGACAGTTAAACTATAGCTAGCTCACATATTACGACAAAAATAAGTAAGGTGGCAGAACTTCCCTGGGCGAACTCTTTTATAGGGGAGATTAATTGTTGTTATTATTATTATTCTTCTCCTTGCTATTTCATCGCTAGTTGGATACAACAACAACATACCCATTTAACTTTCGAGTCTGTTGCTATGAACAATGGTGTAGTACTTCATCCGAATAATATAGCGTTTAGTTTTTTTTTAACCACGGGTACAAACCTCTCCTTCCGAAGTTTCGCGTGTCTGCAGTCTTACCTTGAATGGTGACTTGCAGAATTCTCTACGTTTCATTTTTCATACTGACCTTCAATTAACTAAATTTAGTTTTGCGTTTTTGCAGGTTTTATTTTCGTTTCTTCAAACTGTCTGTTCAAATTTTCTTTTCAATTCAGTTCTTTTGAAATGTTTTTGATTATGATTAATAAAACATTCTCTCTTGATTTTATTTATATTGTGATATTAATTTATTTTTTGCACAATTATTGCACTAGTTTGTTTTGTTTGTTCATTGACTTACTTGTTGTAATATTTGCAAAACCGTCACCAGTGCTTAGATACCGATTTTCGTCGACCTTCACAACAACGTCAAAAGGTTTTATAGTACGACCTAGGTCCATGCAAACTGGGCAGACACCTAGTTTGGGATGCGACCAGTGTGGTGGCTTTTCTACATTTTCACTCAAGCATGTGTGGCGCGGGCTCCATCGTCAAAAGAGCAAAGAGCAAAAAACGCTTGAACACGTGCTAAAGCTCTGTGCTTTTTTCCGGAGTTTTCAGTTCATCTAGATGCTGCTTAAGTAAGTTTAGCGGTCCAAAAAAGAAACGTTGCCAGCCTCTAGCAATGAATGTTTTACCTTGAAGTAAAAGTTTTGTAGTAATATATATTTTTTATATTTATAGAATATTTAGTACATAATTTTTCCTTTATTTATTCTGTGTCAATACTCATTATTTTACTGTTTGTATATATTTTACTAAAAATATTACATGTTTTCTTTCACTTTGTAAGTAAATAAACTGTAAATATTGAAAGTTAGCAAACAAAAATACATATTTATGTTTTTTGTAAAAAAAAATGGTAAAAGCAAATGCATATTTATAAAGTACTTTACGTAAGTAGTAAATAAGGCGCGTGTAACAAACAGCTGATGGTACCAATTTGACAATTCGGAAAATAACATTTTGACTCACCATACATAATTTGTAATTTGTATGACGACAAGTGTAACGGGGAATGTATGAATTGACTTTTATTGCCAATTCCCAGACACCTTAATTATAAAAGTTGTTGCTTTGGACCTCTGTCCTAGTATTCTAAAAAATATTAATAGCGCACTCACACACACGATCACAGCCACACAGGCCCGGACTAGGGAAAAAGTTCAATTTATTATTATTAACTTAATAAAAATTCGTTCAATAAAACAATTTGTAAAACTTAATGTAGCGTAAATTGGAATGTTTTCTTTGTAAAATTAAAAATAAGGTTTTTAATTAATACCTATTGTAACTATAGTGAAAAAATAAGGTGGTTTGCATTAATATTAACGTTGGTTTGTTTGAAAAAACAAATATGCGCGATTTAAATCCGGAAAAATAGTTTCATTTCCTATGTGTGACAGTCGCGAAAACCTAAGAACTCGATATGAATTGGAAGAGACAAAAATAAATTGTTTGTGGTTAGTGTGAAAAAATAAATAATGGCGATTTAGATACCAAAAATATTTTCATTTTAACGTGTAATAATCGCGAAAACCTAAGATCTCAATGTTTTATTTGTCCACAAATATGTACTAAATAATCATGATAGGCTATCATTATTGCTAATATAAACATAATACACATAACATATTTGCCTAAGAAATGCACCGACTAAGAAACCCCAGGGCTGGCAACTATTAGGAAAGTTACCAGTGTTTTAGGTTACCCGACACGGTGAACTAATTTCATCCATTTAATATAACCCTAACCTAGTATTTAGGCTTTCAATGCATGTATGAGTAGATATGAGATATTATACTACAGTCTTGTTTGACCTTCATGCGTAGGATAGGTTGAAATGTCCTAAATATAACCTAGACATATTGATGTCAGCTTAGTCTTAACTGTAATCCAATATCATCATGATTAACACATATCACTCGTGAGATCACTATACCTTGATATGATAATAGACTGTTATTAACAGTCTGTATCACTTGATCCCTAAAGGTTCTATGAAATTTAGGGTAGATTCAAATACCAAGTTCATCTCTTAAGAAATGACTGTGACAAGCAGTGGCACATTTTTGGTTTAATAGATGGGTTGGTTGGGTTATCTAGGTTCAATTTATTTTTAAACAAATTTCAACTTTGTAAAGTTGCTAGCGACGTAATGAAAAAATGGAGACGATGCAGGGTTTTACAAAGAGCTTGTTCAAGTGTGAGCATGCGTTCAAAATTCAAATGAGTGGTTATCCGTAGCTCGTAGTACAACTACTACGTAGCATTTTGTTTATGGTGCGTAGCATTATGAATTCATAATGTAAAATTTAGTATTATGTTGTGTGATTGTAATTTTGAGTGTGGACGGTGTGCATTGAAAGAACATAACCATTAATAATCACTATTCGATATTGTG